AAAGAGACGAAAAGTAGCCAAGTAATGAATGAACTATAAAAGCTACAACATTCAGTAAAAAATATAGAAAAGAAAATATGACAGAGAATTAGAATTACTAAATTTAACTAATATGAAACACATATAATATAATATTAAATAATTAAAAATAATTTAATATAGAAAATTAGATAACATCACCATGATGTAAGAAAACTAAATATAACATTCACATATTATTCATATCGAGGTAGAATTAATAAGATATATTTTCTTCAAAAAATTAATCAATTATAAGAACATTAATGATAATTGAAAATACTTATATTGATAATTGATTCTAAATTCTCTATTCAAAAATTGATTTGGTATCAAGTATTCAAAAGAGGATTCCAATTAAACAATAAAAAATTATGTTTTACATAAGTTCAAATAGTTTTTTTACAATAAGAAAAGTAGAAGGACCAATTATGAACTTCGGAAAATGAAATATTCCAAGAACATTCTGTCAACTTTAACGCAATGCACTTAGCAATTAACTTAAGTGGTACCGGATGCATATATCATAAAGTTGAGTGGTACGCGATGCCCTATCCTTAGTTAAATGGTATAGCTCTCTCAATTTTCATACTTTTGTGGTACCCGAATTATTTTACCCTTATTTCGGCCCAGGACTTTAAGGAGTAGACAACAAAGGAAAGAGGGCTGCATTGGTTTGTTCTATTTGTGCTCCTGGGACTGGGACGAGAGAGCATAATGTGAGAAATAAAAATAGACTTTTGGGCACAAGTTTTGAGTTAGATAAAGTGGTAATTTGAATTGTAATTCATTTATTTATTTATTTATTTGCATTGTATAATGTTGAATCTAGAATTATTTGTTGATTTATTCTCTATATTTATGAGCTAAACCCTCATATATTTTTAAAAATAGTCCTTATCATGTAGCTCCTTTATGATTTACTCTAGATTTATTTTTCCTTCTTATTTACATTGTATGCGGATTCTTAGGTTTGGTAACTATGATTCTTAGGTTTACTCTAGATTTATTTTTCCTTCTTATTTACTCTAGATTTATGTTTCCTTCTTTTTTTTTTGGTAACTATGATTGTTAAATTTCAATAAAAAAAATATTTAATTTTATATTAAATAACATGTTTACCCTTATTCAAGGAATTAATCATTCAAGGAGAAGGGCGGTGGTGTGAGCAGAAACTGAGTCAATGGTTCGACCCAGGGACGTGCCGTTTTATTAAAGCTATTCCGCTCCCACGGGAGAATGTGGAGGATAAGCTCATTTGGTTTGATACGGCAGATGGGGAATTCTCAGTTAAATCGGCCTATCATCTGGCTGTGACTTTGGAGAAACGGAGGGGACGGTGGAAGGCTATGGTGGACTGGATGGATAGGGCTAGTTGGATTCGGCTGTGGGAGGCTAGAATTCCGCCGAAGCTTAAGGTGTTTGTTTGGCAGGTTTTCAATCGGATTTTGCCAACCACCGAGGCTCTGCGTAATCGTCATGTTCCTGTCCAGTCTCGATGTCCGGTTTGTTGGGAGGGCCCTGAAACTTTGGAGCATCTTTTTTTGGATTGCCTGGTCGCACGAGCTCTATGGGGGGCGGCGGGTTTGGAGCATTTTGGTGAGGGGCTACCACGTCATAATTTTCCCCTCTTTCTGAAGAAGTTGCTCTCGTTAGTCTCCCAACCTTCGCAGTGGATGGAAATTATTGCTGTACTGTGGCGAATTTGGAAATCCCGGAACTGGGTAGTATTTGAAGGCAAGCAATTTGGTCTCCCGGCTCTGATGCGTCAGTTTGCGCAACAGGTTGAGGAATGGGAGCGGCTTCCAGTGGAGGGGGGCTCACCATTTCTGGAGTTAGGGGATCATGGGCCTCATTCAGTGGGATCGTTCGAGTTTGTCTGTAGATGGGATGGGGCCACTAGGAGGGCCTCCCATTCGGCAGGGGGAATGGTTATTTTGACACCCTCAGAAGTGGTCCTCAGAGCTCATGGGGTCTCTTTTCCGGGAATGGATGATCCAGCGATTGCTGAGTTGTTGACGTTGCGTGCGGCGGTTTTTTGGTGTTTGGAGCAAGGCTTGGGATCGGTTCGGTTTGAAGGAGATGCTAAAGTCATTATTGATAAAATCAGCCGTAGAGAGTCAAGGGATAGCAGGATGGGTGCTGTTTTGGAAGAAGTGATAAATTTGTTTGCCAGCAACCCTGGATTCAGTATTCGGTTCGTAGGTCGGCGTCATAATAGGGTAGCCCATGTTGTGGCTAGAAGAGCCCTCTCCTTGTCTTCGACTATGGGTCGTGTTTTTAATTTTCAGGCCTGGCTGTTCTCCAGGGTGTAACTTTCTTTTTGATATCAATATAAGATTATCTTTTGTCAAAAAAAAAAAACATGTTTACCCTTATTAAAAAAATTAGAGTGATTCAAGAAATATAGAGAACTTGAATGATAAATATATTTAATATGATAAATAAATAAAAGGAATAGATAAAGTAGGAGAACTAAATTCTAACGAATCAATATATAGAATCTCTCTAATTATGAGAGATTTGATATCCGTAGATTTTAGAGATTGAAAATCTCTAAAGCTAAAATCCATAATATAAAAAGCAACAATAAAATATAACTTTCTACAAAATTTACATATTCAATGAATCCACAACCTAAAGTCTATTCTCCAAAGGACCCCCTAAATGTCTTGTTTGAGAAGAGAATTTAAAACGAGGTATTTGAGTTATGAGACAATTTGTGATTTGAAATGTGTCCATGAGAAGTTTCAAATTATCTATTCCCCTATTATTTTGAAATATATCATTGTTTTTCCTATTTCTTAAAATCCAAAATTAGTGGCTTCAATTATGTCGACTTTTCCTTCTTCCCTTTCCCGATCTCCGGACTCTTCATTTTCCCCTTATCCCAGCCAACCCATTTCTCTTAAGTTGCAACTTGCAAGTGCCTGAGAAGAAGCACCGACGACAAGTGGAGTGAAGGAGAAGGCGGCTGATGAGGAGAAGAAGAGTTATAATTAATGAATCGCTATTTGCCGCCCGTCGTTTTACTATTTGTCGCCCATAGTTAGGACAGAAAAGACAAAATTGCCCCTGCCCCCTAACCCTATCTATCCACCCCTCCCACCCCACCCCAACACCCCTCCCACCCCACCCCCACCCCACCCCTCCCTGCCTGCCGCTGCACCCCCAACCCCCACCCCACCACTCTGCCGACCTTCCCCCAGCCGGCCGCCTTCCCCCTCCTCAAGCCGCCGCCGCCGCCGACTTCCCCCTCTGCTCGCAGTCGCCGCCCAGGAGTCGCTCGCAGTCGAGGTATTTTTTTTTTTTAATACTGTCTCGGCGCCGTCCGCCTGGTCGGAGCGGACGCCGTCCGCCAGGTCGGAGCGGACCCCGTCCGCCCGATCTGGTCGGACCCCGTCCGCCCGGTCGGGTCGGACCCCGTCCGCCCGGTCGGGTCGGACCCCGTCCGCCCGATCTGGTCGGACCGGTTGATCGAGTTTCTGATTCGTTTTGAATGGTTCGGTTTAAAAAAATATTTATTAGATTTATTTTAAATACAATTGTTAGTATATTAATTAGTTTAATATTGATAGTTCATTAATTTGTATATAATTGTTAATTGGAACATATAATGTGTTAGTTTATATATTGGGTAAGTTGAAATAATTATAATTGTTAATTAATTATATAATGCGTTAGTTTATTAATTGGGTAAGTTGAAATAATTATAATTTTTAATTAATTATATAATGCGTTAGTTTATTAATTGGGTAAGTTGAAATAATTATAATTGTTAATTAATTATATAATGTGTTAGTTTAAGTATTGGGTAAGTTGAAATAATTATTTGAATAACTATCTAGTTAAATTAATTAGTAATTGATAAATTAATTAGATAACCAAGTTGTATGTATCATAATTAGTAATTGATAAATTATGACTATGAAGAAATTGCTAATCTAATAATTTATTATAACAAATTAATTAAATTAAGTAGATAACATCAAACGAAATATTAAGTAGATAACAAATTGTATGTATCATAATTACTCTATGAACAACAAGTAACTGCTCAACAAATAATTTCCAATAAGATATTAATAGAAAATTATTGTCTATATTTAGAGATGGCGTCATCTGGTAATTCTGGAGGATCACGTAGTTCTGGAGGACCAGGAAAGAGATTGAAAAGATTCATTGGGCGTAACATTAGCGCTAGTGTGAGAAATAACCGAAATGATAGAGATGAGCCACAACCTCAGCCACAGCCACAGGTGACACCGATGAGATATAGGGCAGACGGTTTCCCTCAGTTTGATTTTCGGATGCCTAGTACGGGTGGTAGTGGAGCTGGTCCCAGTATTGATCATCATACTTCACCGTTTGAGCCTTCAGACGAGATTGACGACGAGTCGGAGGAGTATGAGTCGGATGCTGTTGAGACACGTATTCCACGAGTCAGTCCGATCAGAGACAGAGGTGCCCCCAGCGTTGCGTCACCTGTCGTTACTGGGGTACATGCTGTTACTGGGATCTATAGAGACCATGCGGGGCGTTTCTATAGAGCTCCACAGCCTGGTGAGGGCCAGAGTTCTACTGCTGATGTAGGAGAGGCCTGGGAGCCTAGAGGACCGTGTCCTGGAGGGCCGAGCGACCCGAGTTTGCTCCGTAGCTTTCTTGGGCATGTTGCCCACCGTCTGTACACGGGAGAGGCTGATAGAGGGGTGATCACTTGCTACGACAGGAGTGCGACCCTTTGTCACGTTCTCGGCGGTTATCAGATAGCAGATGATAACGCTAGGACTACCGTAGAGACATCGGGCCTTGCTCACCTCGTTGATATCACCTTCCAGAGCGAGCTGGACCCTGCTCTCATCTCGACATTTGTGGAGAGGTGGCAGCCGGATACTAACACCTTCCACATGCCGTTTGGAGAGATGACGATCCTCCTTCACGACGTGGCACACATTCTTGGGCTTGCGGTTGACGGAGAGGCGATGGTAGTGGATCCGAGGCAGTTGGAGAAGTTTGCACTGGAGGCTGACATCCGAGCACTACTGGGATTAGATCGTGACGAGGATGAGTACGGGGCGCAGGTTGGCGAGGTTGCTAGTCTGTCTAGGTGGTACAGTGGATTTGGTTTGTTGGGTGTGGGAGCTTTGACTCATTTGCAGCAGTCTGGTCCGCCAGCTAGAGAGGCTCAGTGTTACCTTCTTTTGCTGCTTGGGTCCACACTGTTCGTAGATAAGAGTAAGGACCGCGTTTCTGCTGTTGTGAACTTGTTTGTGAAGAGGCCGGATATGCTAGGAGAGTATGCGTGGGGGGCTGGAGCACTTGCTTATCTGTACAGGCAGCTTGGTATTGCCTCCCGGGCGGAGGCTAAGGGAGTGGCGGGTTGTCTGACTTTACTACAGTGTTGGATTTACGACCACTTTCCTACTTTGAGGCCTAGTCGGTTGGAGCCACGAGAGCTGGAGCAGGGGCAGGCAGGAGCATTAAGGTGGCGCGGTACAGCACCCCGGTCGAGTAAGAGGAGGGATGCACAAATGCTGGCTTACTATCGGCAGGCTATTGATAGTTTGACCCCTCAGTCAGTTAGTTGGACTCCGTATGGTCGTAGTCCTCATCTGACGGTGAGACGTACCTTGTACCAGGGCCTGCCCAGATTTGCAGAGATAGCAGAATATTATGATCCCACTAGGTGCCTCCGACAGTTAGGCTACGTGCAGGGTGTACCGTATCCACGCTTGTTGTGCGTCGACCTGCTTCCACGCTTGGATACTCTCTTAGCTACCAGTCTGTCTATGATTCGTATTGGACAACTTGGGGGCGCATAGTGTGCATCTGGACCTTTTTTCTACTCAGATACGACGTAGGCCATGGGAGTTTGCTGAGAATTACATGTCGTGGTACATTAGGCACTCGCACCCACATATACTGAGTGACAGCCGACCTGTTGATGACATCTCGGATGCTGATACGGTTAGTACAATTATATTTTATATTATTTGTAACTAATATGTATTTAAATTGTATGGTTTTTTTATTACAGTTGTCACGCGAGATGTGGGTTGAGATATCTCCCGTGATGGATGCTGCACAGGGTAGTAGGGAGGAGTGGATGGCTAGCGCGGACGAGTACTACGACTTATGTCATGGAGTTGGGAACATGTGGCCCGAGTTTAGGAGGAAGTCGGGTTTTCTACCACCTCCACAGTAGTTGTATGATTATTATGTCATATGTATGAGTGTTATTTGTTGTTTTTAGACGAGTTGACTTATGTGTTCTACTACGACTTATGTTATGTGGTGTTCAGTTGCTTATTTGTTGTTTTGGGACTATGACTTATGTTATTTGTGTAATCTGATTATGACTTATGTGGTTTATGTTGTACTTTGGATGTTTTTATTATATCATGCTTCCATGTGACGTAAACAAACTTCATTACAATTTATTTAAATTGAAGACGTTCATTACAATTTATTTAAACTGAAGACGAGTACAAGTTTATTTCTTTGGACCCCTCTTTTTGCGTGATGGAAAGTTACTCGCCGCAGCCTCATCAACCAACTCCCGAAGGTGAGATCTAGCCTCCTCCTCCTGGGGAACGTACTCCTGAGCATTGGGTGGATGCTCGTATGACAGTGTCCGCCAATATATATGAATATCACCGGGATATATCTCTATGTCTCGCGCTCTGCCATCCATAACTTGACATCCACACCTCAAGCCGTGTGTCACAGAGAAATGACATGCACATCGGGAGTTCTCATTTTTTTCCAAGCGGGCACCCAATTCTTCTTCAGCCTCCTTCATTAATATAATTGCCTGCATGCTGACCTTCCTTCTCAAGAATGTGAATGGTGTACCACCGGATGCTGAAAGGGTTTTCTGTCTAGAGTTTTCCAACATCATCCTAACCTCCCCGAGTTGGTTAGTAATGTAGCGGTGGTTTCCTTTCCATACAGTGTCCATAGATCCCCGCGAGTTGTGGAGGAAAGTCTTCAAAGCGGAATGTGACGACTCAACCCTGTTTGTGCTCGTATTTCCTAGATGAAACACATTTTTTGTATGACAAACAGCCCACTTTTCTCGATGTTGCCACCACACTCCCTGTATGTATTGCAACAGACATGGTTCTTGATTGCCCCATCTTGTCCTAAAGCGGCCAAACGCGGCCAACATACCTTGCTCTGACCAAGAATAAAGCATAGGACACCAATATTGGTCGTACGCCTCGTTGACCAAATCCATCCTGTTCTTCCCAAATATTTCCAAGCACTTCTTCTGCACATTGGTGTTGATGTGCCAAACACATAGCAAATGCGGGGTGCGGGGGAAGACCACAGGAACCGTAGCAAGTAGTCCACCTTCGTGGTCGGTGACGATGACAGAGGGCACGCGAGGATGGAGCAATTGTTGTATGCACTGCAACAGCCACAAATACGACTCTTTTGTCTCATCCTTCATGAGAGCACAACAGATGTTGAAATTCTTCCCAACTGGAGTTGCACCTACGACCTCCACCCACGGCCATTTATATGCATTGGTCTTATACGTTGAGTCGATCAGAATCACGTACGGCCAAGCCTTCAACATCTGGATGGAAGTTGGATGGGCAAAGAAAAGATGTGTCAGCACGTCGTCATCGTCCTTCATAACCTCTGTATGATAATTCTCACGTTCAGCTTGTAGCAACGCATACTGCACTGCATTCATCTCGCCCATCTCGTCTTTCCTAGACTTGGACCCGAGGTTATACATCTGCCTTTGGGTGTGATGCCCTTTGTCACCCTTCTGCTTGTTTATTGTCTGCTTGTGTTGCGACGGAGGTACCCCAGCATCTCTCATCTGCCTAAGAGATTCTTTATCCTCCTGACTCAATTTATTCATTTGACTGTGGCCCTCGGGATAAAGCATTTTCTCATGACTGTGATACCCTCGCCTTAAACCGGTTCCTTGCTCCGCGACTCCTTGTATCTCCCAGAATGTAGGTCCATCAAGAGCATCTGGATTAACCAGTAGTTCTTTGATTTTAATCTTGAACATGCATCCCGCTCCTTTTGAACTTGTATTGCCACGACTCTCTTTGGAAGGATCCGGCTTGTATGACTTCCTCTCCCTACTGCATCTGTCGCAATACATATAACAGATACCCAATGATCTTTCGTTGCCCAACTCACGTGGCTTCATCGATCCCTTAGTTAGAAAGAAACCAGGAGACATCGCGATGTTTTTGGTCACTGTTACAGCATCTTCGAAATTGGCATATCGGACGCCATTGAGAAAATGGTCTGTGTAATCACCAATTAGTTCAACATTGTCAGCCATGTCCACCTGCAATTATGATTTTGACTCTCGTTAGAAATGTACAAATTATATGATTCTACAAAATTAAACTAAATGCAATAATTTAATTAAGTCTAAAAAATACAGATAATTTAAATATAAATTATTAAACCAAATTAGCTCTACGATTTAAATCTAAACACAATAAAACTAATTTGCGCTACAACAAAACACAATCACTTAATTAAACTAATTGTGCTTTAATTGACTCTACAAAATTAAACTAAATGCAATAATTTAATTAACTCTAAAAAATAATGATAATTTGACGATAAGAAAATTATTTTAATATAAATTATTAAACATCTTTAGCTCTACGAATTATATCTAAACACAATAAACTAATTAGCGCTACAACAAAACACAATCGCTTAATTAAACTAATTGTGCTTCAATTGACTCTACAAAATTAAACTGCATGCAATAATTTAATTAACTCTACAAAATAGCGATAATTTGACAGTAAGAAACTAATTAGCGCTACAACAAAATACGATTCGCTTAATTCAAACTACAAAGGAATGTAACTATGTAAAATAGAAATAAAAGCAATAAATTATAAATTATTAGCTCTAGAAATAAAATAGAAAAAAATACAACACTGTTATGCAACCGGTCGTCGCTCGCCGGCGTCGGACCCCGTCCGCTCGCCGGCGTCGGACGGCGACCGACGACGGCGAGCGGACGCGGTCCGACGACGGCGAGCGGACGGGGTCCGCCTCCAGCTAGCGGACGGGGTCCGACGCCGGCGAGCGGACCGAACAAAAAATTCAGGATCAGCAAGAGGTTTACCTGCTTCGCTGGTCCGACGACGGGGTACGGCTGCCGTCCAGTGCCCGGCGAATTATCCTGACGAGATTGGTCCGGTGGCCGGCGAGTTTGGCTGCCGTCCGGTGGCTGTGGTGTTTGTGGGGGGTTGGTGGTCGGGACTCGGGTAGTGTGTAAGTTGTTTAAAAAACCATTTCAGCGAATAGAATATAAAGAAATATTTGGAGGGCAAAATTGTCATTTTAGTGTTTTTTACGGGCGGCAAATAGTAATTGCCCGGGCGGCAAATAGTAACCCTCTATAATTAAGGGCAAATGTCTCATACACATTTATTTTAATATATATTTTTTTTTTTACAGAAATGGTTCATCTAGAAAGAACAATCAGAATGGATGCCCATAATCTATGGTTGTTCCACATCGTTGTTGTGTATGATGCCTTCATTGTTGAGCTCCTTGCAATGACTAATGCTCTTCAATAGTGTGTTTTTCGTTAAGCAAAAATTTCTATTATGTGATGTTCCGCAGTTGATCATCCATATAATTAATCAGAAGGATTCAACGCACGCGTTAGGTAGCAGCCTTCTTTCTGATATTCGGGTTTAACTTTGCAGTTTCGTCCCGTGCCATTGCAAGTAGCCTTCTATATGAAGTTCAGATCCTTCGAGCATCCATACAATGTTCATCGTTCCACTTTGCCTCACGTAAGTATAATAGGGTTGCCCATCTTGTGGCGAAACTAGCCCTCTCATCGTTGGATCGTCGGTTGGTCGACCAACGACTCTTTCTTAATTCTTATTTGTAGTTTTGACTTGCAAAGATCCCCTTATTATGCCGTATTTGTTGTATTCCCTTTTGGGATATCTTTGAAGAAGAAAAAACGAATATAATATTGTTAAGTTCCAATTTAACGCTACTAATTCCTTGAAATATATCTTGCCAGATTATTGACGGTTAATAAGAATTCTTGGATTCATGTTCATTGATCGTCAAGAATTTTATGCAAAATTTGAGTGATTTTATAACTGGACAATACTACAAAGTAGGATCTTGAAGATTTTATGACTTCATCAATCAAACCTCATCACTTCTACTACTATGTATACTAATTGATTGAGAAGAAGTGCATATTTTTTTGTTGAAATCTTGGGAATCATAACTTTGAAAGTTGAAACTCTTGATATAATGGTTCACCAGGAACCACATAAAATTTTAGGTGGATAAGTATATAATTTCACCTATTTAGCTTCATATCAATGCAAGTTATTTTCCACCTCCTTGATTGAATAATTTGTAATTTGCCCATTAGACCAACTAGCATATATGAGTGTATAAAATTTGGAATTGAATATGAAATGCTATAAACGCTGCTTTATATATTAAACAGAAGCAATCACGCTTTCTTTTATTACAAATTACAAACCAATTCCCCCAGTTTATTTTTATTCAGAATAATCCATCTAAGAAAATAAAAGAAAGAAGTCAAACACATATTTAACACATACACAATTCACAGTACAATCAAACGAATTCCAACATCTCAATAAAAGAAAAAAAACAGAAATTCCAAACGTAACTGACGATCTTCAATTCCCCATGCAGCAAACTATTTCCAAGCAGTAAGCGGCGGGACGCTCTGCTCATTCCGGAAGAAATTCCTCGGGTCAACCGCGGTCTTCACCCGAACCAACCGCTCGTAATTCCCCTTGAAATACTTCACCCCCCAAACCCTCGCCTCCTCGTGACTAGTAAAACCCGCTCCGTTATTGGACCCGACATCCAGATCCCTGTAGTTCACATACGCCAACCTCGGATTCTTCGAAACGTGCGGCGCCAGGTAGCCGTACAGCTCCCTGATCCAGTCCACGTGGCGGTCCGTCGCCTCCCGCCCTTCCCTCTCCCAGTAGACCAGGTGCTGGATCTTGTACCTCGTCCCGGCCCGGTGCGGGAACGGAATGCTCGACTCCGGGATCTCGCTCATCCTCCCGCCGTAGGGACTGAATATCAGCTCCGGGTCCTCGATGTCGGGCCGCAGGATCCGCCTCCATATACCTTCCAAGGCCCGCTCCGACATGGGCTCGGTCACGTAGTCGGACTTCGCCTTGAAGTTCCGCTTACGTGTCAGCGGGACCTGGCTGCGCAACACCTCGAGCGGCGAATCGGTCGGGTAGCCCGCAAAGTAGAGTATGGACCGGATCCAGGTCAGCTCGATGAGATCTTCTCTCTCCACTCCCAGCTCGGGGAAGTCCCGTTGCAGCAAGGGGAGGAGGGATTGGGCCTGGCCCAGGTAGAGAGAGTTGAAACTGGCCCGGCCCGTGGCGGTTGAGTTGGTAGTAGTTTCGGTTCGGTCCAGGATGACTCGGATGAATAGGTCGTCGGGGAACCTGTCGGCTACCTGTTGCCATCGGTTGATGATTCCCGTCGCGTTTTGTTGGATGGTTTTGGTGACGGTGAAAACGGTGACGTTTTCGGGGACGGGGAGTAGGTTGACTTTCCAGGCGGTGACTACGCCGAAGGTGTTGCCTCCGCCACCACGGATGGCCCAAAACAGGTCCTCTCCCATGGAGGCTCGGTTGTGGACCTTTCCTTTGACGTCGACGAGGTGAGCGTCCACGATGTGGTCGGCGGCGAGGCCGAACTTACGTAGCGAGAGGCCGTACCCTCCGCCGCTGAAATGGCCACCGACGCCGACGGTGGGGCAGACTCCGGCGGGGAAGGCTAGGGTTGTGGTCTGGGTGCCGATCTGGTAGTAGAGCTCGCCGATGGTCCCGCCGGCCTGGATCCAGGCCGTGCGGGCTGCCACGTCGACTTTGACTGAGGAGAGGTTGATGAGGTCGAGGATGAAGAAAGGGCGGGAGGCCACGTAGGACAGGCCCTCGTAGTCGTGGCCGCCACCTCGGACTCTGAGGTGGAGGCGGTGTTTGTGGGAGCATGATATGGCGGCCTGAATGTGGGAGGTGGTTTGTGGGGTGACGATGACGATGGGTTTGGGAGCGGCGGAGGTGTTGAAGCGGAGGTTGTGGATGGAGAATTGGAGGACGGAAGGGTAGGAAGGGTTGGCCGGAGTGTAGAAGACGATTTTGGAGACGTTGGCGGCTGGGGAAGTGGAGAGGCAGTGGAGGAAGTTGTCGTGATTCGCCGCCGGAGAAGCGTCGCTGCCGCTCCATGGGACGGCGAGCATGAGAAGTAGGGCGAGCAGGAAGTTCATCGTGAGGATCGGATGATGTTTCTTGGTTATGGTGGATTAATATTAGGTGGTGAATATGGATGGATAATGGGTGAAATGTGTGTGGGGTATTTATACGGGAAAATGGGCGTATTTGGTGAGTATGTGAAAGGAAGAAGCTAGTGGGGTGTCTAAATATGTATAGGGAGACATTTCAATTCTACGTTCCCTACTTTTCTCTACACTGTATGACGATGGAGGACTGGGAAAGTTCAAACGTACTGGAATAGCTCATATTTTCCCGATATTATCAGTTTCTTCCCATGCAAGTAGATGGGTGTTTTTTTTTTTTTTTTTGCGTACGGTATCCGTACGCGTTGCCCTAATCCGATCGAGCAGAGGAGGGTACGTAGGGTGTTGCTTGCTGCACCACGTGGCATGTCCACAAACGTGCTTTAATTTATTTCTTTACCATGTTAGTCCAGACAAAGTGTCGCTAAATGATGTTGCAGTAGTGTCCTATGATTTGGAATTTTAGGTATAGGGTTGCAGTGGTTTGTACATAATTCTAACATGCATGCCTACGGGCAACTCAAGGAACAGAAAACGATTCATCGTTGTAAACTATCTTCAAACAGGGTTTTGGTTATCTTGTTGTCATGGCAGTGGAGTCGAAGTGTAAATGACTAATAGTTGCTTCAGATAATGGTAGCTGTTTAGGAAATGTACGTCAACATTGTACGATGAGCTGATTATTGTTAGTTTTTTGGATAACCTGTCGTGAAACGGCTAATAATTGACAGCGAGGCTGTTCAACATAGTATGACAAGAATGGAAGAGATATCTACTAACAATTTGAGACTGATAATTAATGTTCGAACTAAATAAGTGCATGAATTAAAGGGAGAGAAGTTTCTTGTGGGATGAGAAGAGATTGATATGAACCATAAGTAATTTCCTCTCATTGATGATGCACAACCGGAGTGAGGGGAATATATACCTAAGAGGTAAAGAAGATATTAAAACAATAAGTAATTTGATGATCAATATGAACTACAAGATTCATATTTTAACTTCTTTCTATTAATAATGCGACTTATCAGAGCCAGATAGTCAATACACAAAAATCAGATTAATTAGCAATATCATTTTGAATATTAAAAAAGCTCCGTACAGAATAATCCAAATGTCGTCATAAACTTGCCTCAATGTGTTTTTTTTTTTAATGAAGCGCTTTTTAAATGAAGCACAAATGTGAGTTCTTCTAGAGTTTTAGCATGTGTTGCTTCATTTGTTACAAATGTGGTACGTACCACTTTTCACCATAATTTTTTATATCTCTAGTTTAGATCGAAATATAATTAAATATCAAATGATAATGTCTTTACTAACACGTATAAGTACCATAAAATAAATATGTATAAATAAAAAGTGGACAATAATCATAGATAAATACAAAAGAAATCAAGTACTTAAACAAATTTCATTAGAATGCTATTTCACTACATTTACGAGCGTAAGTATATTTTCACCATTTATAATGGTTCTTAACATGGTATCAAAATATTCTTAGAAATTTCATATTTGAATCATCAAGATTCTCAATATTAACAATGTGGTGAGCATATATGAAAACTTCAACCCTATAGATTGGCTTTGTTTTTAGAAAATATGTTAATGAGTGGTACAAGATTCCAAAGGAATTCTCCCACTTGACAGAGGCCAAAACGCATCACACTTGATAAATTCTTGAAATCATAGACATTGTGCATTAGGGAAAACACATTATCGACTTTCAGAGTTGAATAATCTTTGAGTAAGCACTAAGCACATGATTAGAGTGACTTAAGACTCGGGTAGTTATGTGCCAGTACAATAGATAAACCCCTCTAGAATAAATATATCTCAACTTACAGCTCGTTGCAAATCTTGTTACCAAATGAAAATGTCACGACTGTTTTTATGGATCGAGAAATTGAAGGATAAATAGACCAAGATAAACAAAAGCAAGAAACCAAAGAAGACACATGAATTTACGTGGTTCACTATGTATAGACTAAACAAGATAGCAAGCCAAACAAAACAAAATTGAAGACTAACCAACCTCTACATTGGGCATATGTACAACGCTAGTGCATATCCAACACAAGTGGCATAACATAAGTGATTGTCTAAATCTAGATAATACAAGATCATTCCTTAGACTAAAGGGTTGTTCTTAAGTAGTAGAGTCAACAAGATGGTCTTCAAGATATCTAAGAGATAATTGTCAAAAAGAATGAGAGAATAAGAGTTTTCTTAATTAGGGTTCAATCCTCATCTAGGCTTCTTGCATAGTACAAATAGAACCTTAAACAATCATGCAAGTTGTTCTTACAACCAAAAGGAATTTGAATTAATGTATAGACATCCATATCTATTTGAGTAAAGTAGTTATACTAAAATAAGTCATTCCTTGTGACTCACAATATTTGCTACTAACTCAATTCTTATGTATCCCTTAGGCAAACTTTAAAGGGGTGAAAATTCTAGCTTAGGCTAAACCTTTTAGTATTCTCATCAAGTAACCATAAACACTTAATGGGGTTAGCTATTGAACTTGCAAACCAGATGACATGCTAAACTTAGCCAAAAGGTTTCTATAAAGCTTTACTTTCAAGCTAAAGAACCATAAGAAATTTTCATTAGATTGTGTACAATGTCTTTCTTGCTAATGTAGAACTCTTTTAGATATGATCTCAAATTGGTCATTAACCAGACTAGAATCGATTGATCGAAAAGGCAATCCAAGAGCATCGGAAAATACTAATTTTTGGTTAAGTCTTTTGATAATTTCAGTTAGCCAACTTTGGACGCGTGTAACTCGAGATTGGCTTGGTGAAAATTCGACTTCAAGGGCTTGTATTGAAGAAGAAGAGTTGTTCTTTATATCGACATATTTTGGAGTTCAAAAGGAAGCCCTGAAGGTTGTTTTTTGGGTCAATGAAAGTGTTTGCTCAACACAGGAAAAACTGCCAAAATTGCCTAAGTCTGGAAAAGAGTTCATGAAGGTGACTTTGAGCTTCAATTCGTGGAGATTGAGCCTCATTCAAATTGCAAGGTTGATATCCCATGAATTTAGGCCTTTCATAATGCAGCGTCGTGGAATGGATAACTGGAACAAAGTTTGGAGGACATCGAATGAAGACCAGCAAGATCGTTCGAAGCCTGAAGGAAACTGCCTTGCTGCATCAAGAATCCAAATCCTATTCGGATTAGGACTACGACTGGAATTTTTACCTTTCTGTTTTGAGTTCCATTTCCTTGTTTGTTTGTAAATTGAACTTCTGTATTAGTTTGTTAGCTAGACTAGGTCTATTTAAGGTCATTCCATTGCATTGTAAACTCAGTTTTGGTTTTAATCGAAGACAAACGTCAAGTTTGGTTCACAAGTTTTGTATTGTGGTTGAGAGTTGCTTAGAACGAGTTCTAGGGAACTCGTTGTTGTATCGATCAAGCTAATCCCTCTTGATCGTGGCCATCCTTTGTCTGATTCTTCTCGCGCCTTTGCCCTTGTGAGCAATTGCACGAAAGAGCTATTCCGCAAAACTATCCAACACACACCCTGTTTTTTGAGAGAGATTGGATTTCAACTCCAATAGCTACGCAATTCTGATCCTAAACCCTATATGGGGCTTATCAAGTGGCATCATCGCCTGGTTCAAACGCAGTTGACAAGACGGAGAAGCATGTTGCTGGAACAACACGCTGGACGAGGTCGAAGGGTTCTGTTTATGAGGACCCTGCAATTTTACGTCACAAAACAGAGTCCGAGGAGGAGACTCAGTCTGAAGATCAAACGATGGGTGATCCATAAGTAAACACTACAGAATTACTCCAGACCATTATAGCGCAGATGAATGAGACCTTTCAGGTCCAATTCGATAACATCAGGCGCGAAATCGCGGAATTAAAATCGAAGACGAACGCCCCTGTTCTGCTTAACACAGTGCACGAAGAAGCACCAAAGGGAAATCAAACCCAGGGGATGCACACAGGAGGTGAGCTGGCTCTAGCAGAACATGTTCAACAATTGGAATGACGGCTGATTGCAACGGAACATGGTCCCCGAGACAACACCCAGAACTTCCGCAATCACGATCGTCGACCCCCTGAAACCACCATTGCAGAACTCTGGGGAGTGAAGCTAACCATTCCATCTTTCACAGGTGCCAACAACGCCTCTGCCTACCTAGATTGGGAAAGAAAAGTGATTCTTTTCTTCCAAGTTACACTGAGTAGTAGAAAGCTCTCTTGGCGACATACGAATTTATGGATTATGCCGCCCAATGGTGGGAGCAAATCCAACTCCGGCGATGACAGAATATGCAGCCAGAATTCGAGACATGGACTGAGTTAAGGGGACTCATGAGGAACCGGTTTGTTCCTGGCTTGGGTACTACCAACGGGAGCTGCACGAGTCTATTCAACAAATTCAACAGGGAGGGAGGACGGTGGAAGATTAGTTTCGTGAACTTGAATTGCTCATGATGAGAGCTGACATCAGTGAGGATCTAGAAGCAACCATAGCTCGATTCCTTCATGGCTTAAACCGAGACATACGCCAGGAGGTTGAATTGAGGTCATTCGTGGAATTAGAAGAGGTGGTACACCTTGCAATTATAATTGAAAGAGATAAAGACAATGCCAAGCTGGAGGTACTGATAGACCGTCATTTACACATGTTTTTACCCCCGTTCTTACACCGTTTGAGGTATTGATTCTCGTGTTTTAGGCCGATTTCACGCTAGGTTGTGCTTGTTTGTGATATTTCAGGTCCTAGTACGTGAATGAAGGCTTGGGAGCGAGTCTGGGGTCGATTGGACGAAGATCGGACGAAGGGCGAGGTTTCAAGGAAGCTGCACGGGCAGACCAGGGAGTCGCACGGCCGTGCATGTGAGCAAGATGGCCGTGCGCTTTATGCCGAGGCCACGCACGGGCAACCCCTGAAGATCGCATGGCCGTGCACCCTGGCCGTGTGAGAAGCCTGAGGTCGAACTAAT